CGTAGGTTTATGATATAATAAAGAAATAATTGCGTATATATTACACATTTATGATGTAGTAAAAAAATATTGTCGAATTTATTTTGCTGTGTGGTCATTTCACCGCATAAGATACGAGAAAAAAAATTTGAAATGAAGTATATAAGCCCGCAGTCCAAAGCAAGCTCAGTACTTATTATTTAAACATGTATTTTATTAAGACTTTTGCGCCATTTAATATCAAAAAATAGACGCCATTTTTATGACACCTTTACAGAGCCTCTAAGTACCTGGAAATACCTATTAAATACAATTATGACTGACGCTTAACCCCTAAAGACCACCTAATAGCTTTCGTGGTATTATTACTTTCATCTTTTCTTTTGAAATATATACGTATAAAAGTCCGCGTCTCATATTTAATTAACAACAATATTGACTTACTATAAAAATCTATATATATATATATATATATATATATATATATATATATATATATATATATATATATATATATATATATATATATACAACATACATATAATTACAATTTTATTGTATTAAATTATATTGTATGAAACTTCTTCAAAAGTAAAATGTTGAAAATTTTCTAAGAGAGTAAAGAAAATTCCGTTGTAGAGTCTAAAACGTCCGTCCGTCAGTCCGTTGAAAATTCTTTTAAAGTTAAGTATTTTTGTAATTTTAAGATTTTTTAGTTCAATATAGATTTACATTCACATAAAAACGGTCATAGGTTTATTTGGTTTTCATCTACCCAAAAAGCCGATATCGCGATAGCATTAGTACATTATGTACCTTTCATTATTATTACCTATGTTTAAAATACTTTAAAAGTAACATATCCTTCCTTAGGTTTCAATATTCTAAAAAATTATTTAATTATAAAACATGAATTTTAAATTGAAACAACTATTTTATTAATTGTAACATACATACTCTAGTTCTTTAATTTAAATTGAATTTTTAAAAAAATTGTCTGTTTGTCTGTTTGCCAAAAAGACTTTTGTTCCGGCTAATCTCCAAAACGACTGGGCCGATTTTGACGGGACTTTTACTGGCAAGTAGTTGATTTTATAAGGAGTAACTTTTATTTCAGTAAAAAAATAGGGTTCCACTCAAAAAAATTAAAACGTATAAAATGAAACTTAAGCAACATTACATTTCATTGTAAGCAATATCTATTCTATTAAATAGATATGATTTTTAAATAATATATTTGATATTTCCCAATAAATTAATTATTATTATTATGAAATATATAATATCTTCGAAAAAAGAGTTAGCCAGTTTTTAAAGAATTATTTATTATTACATCTTCTGTATTAGCAACCAAAGACAAAACTCAAATTAAAAAAAACATGTTTTAATAAGTAGGTTGTCATTTAACTGCCCAACTTAATGATAACTTTTACTAAAATCTTTTTTAAATGCCTTTGTTTTCTGATGAAATAGCCTTCTTCTATGCCAATAAGATAAAAACTTTAATGCTCAACAGCTAAAGTAATTGCGCTTGCGATAAACGAGAATAGTCGTGATTGCTATCTTTATAAAAGAGATAAAATAAACCTGTTACGATTAGATAGGGATAAATGACAAATTTCCACTTGAGGTTTGGAACTAGCTTTTACCATCTAACTTGCCTTTTTCGAGATATTTGTTTATTAAAATAATTTTACATAATAATTCAAGTAGTAAGTTTCAATTTATATATATTTTTGGTTTTTATATTATAATCATATTCTAGTGAGACCGTTGACATGCAGATTTTCAATTTTTTTCCTACCCTTAGAAATAATTAACTAAATTAAAAAACCTACAAACTTGAATTTTATCTCTAATTTTAATTAAGTTTGTGGTGTTTTGTAAGTGCGGAGCAAAAATTTTAATTGTCCAAACTTAAAATGAACTGGAAGTTAACTACTATAAAATATGTTTTGAACAGCTTAAACATACACATATTTACTCTCATGTACTTAGACATAATACGATGATAACTTTTTGTCCGTCAAAACAGCTTTAGCAATTGACTTTTTTGTAATCATATTACACTCTATACAATAATGTATATCTTTTTATCACAAATTACCTGAATGGTTATTTCGTTGCAATGCCATTTTTTTTTAAATATATGTTTTTTATTTAATAGAAGCTACAGTAGGGACCTATATTCGTGCTAAGAAACGCACAGGGAGGTTGCCCACTTCGGTGGGCGGTGGGAGGTGGCCCTCTTCGGGGGGCGGTGTACCTTGCGGGTTGCTCCTGGTACTTCTCTGATAGCAGAGTGGACCTTGGAGCAACCCCATGGTTGTGGTGGTCTGCTTTGGCAGACCTGCCGTCGGGGCGTCGTAATTGAATGCGTAAGCGATCCTGCGTCGCCCCATTATGACGGGGGAAGGTTTTGTTGGGGTTTAGTGGGTAGTACTGGCTGTATTACGCCGGTGAGTCCCACACGTCGTGCGTAAATGCATTTCCCAACGTTAATAAAAAAAAAAAAGGGACCTATATTCGTAGTATCTAGGGACTTTATACAGTAGGTATATGTTAGTCGTTTTTCTCTCCTTTCTACGTAGGTACTTCCGTATTAATGTTGTAAATGTGAAAGTTTGTATGTATGGATGTTTGTTACTCTTTCACGCCAGAACTTCTGAACGGATCTGGATGAAATTTGGCACAGAGATAGATTATAGTCTGGAATAATACATAGGCTACTTTTTATTCCGGAAAAATGTAGGGTTCCCGTGGGTAGGTTTGTTTCTGATTTCCTAGAGGTGAATCCGAGCGAAGCGAGGGTGAGCCGCTAGTATAAAATATTTTGTTACTAACCTTGCTATCGGTTTTAAACTAAGCACGATATTTCTTTAACATTTTAATATATTTATTTATAATAAAATGCATTGAAATTACAAATAAACAAAATTATTACGTATTACGTAAATTAAATTAAATTTTTGAAAGGTTATTATTTGACATTACATTAGCGTTTCAACTGTTCATTATATTATCATCAAGTACTTATAACTCTTTATATAGAAATGAACAATTTCTATTTTTCAGAAGGAGACAATGTTTTATATCAATACAAGTACAATATCATGTTTTTATGGAGTTCAGGACGAATTAGTTAAAGTACAACAATGAAGTAATAAACTACATTTTTTAACTAGAAATATATTTCGCAAGATTCCATTTAGATATCTCTTTTAAAGAGAACTTAAATCTCTTTTAAAGTTATTTCACCTCACAATAAATTAAGCTTGAAAAATAAATGTTATGAAATACATATTATGTGGATTTAATGTAATATTTCATTAAATATATACCTTTATTATTGTATTCTTACAATTTTCACATATATTTATTCAGCCCTTCAGCCCTTTTTAACGTCCCACTGCTGGGCGCGGGCCTCCCTACAATACTGGGGGGAACAGGCCTTAGTCCCCCACGCTGGCCCCAGGTTTTCTCAACATGGAGGTTTCCTCACGATATTTTCCTTCATCGATAAGACAAGTGGTAATCATGTTGGAAAAATCAGAGGTGCGAGACCCGGGATTTGAACCCGCTTTACTCGATTTCCCAAGCGAGCGATTTACCACTGGGCTATCACTGCCTTTACACATATATTTTGATAAAATTATGTTATATACACATACATTCACATACATAAAAAGTATTACAAGAATATGTAGGAAGCCTATTTTAGAATAATAAAATAAGTAACACGTTCAATTTAATTTTTAAGCGATTAATTTATAAGTGCGTGGAAATTATTGAAAGTGTAACTTAATAGTCTTGAGATATCTTTGAAGATGAAGATAAATAATATTAAACATTAATTTTAGTTTAATGATTAAATTATACAGATTTATTGAATTGGAAGATCTACGTCTACATTAATCAGCGTTATTGTATTTGACTAAAGTAAATAGTTTGGTTTATTGATACTAATTTATCGATTTGAAATACAGAACTTATCAGAAATTGTATCTTACCTACATATCTTCCTTATGCTGTTTCTTATATTACCTACATGTATCTTCGAATTATGAACCATTAATGATAATAATATGTTACACTAGCATTGCCCGCGGCTCCGCCAGCGTTCATTTGACCAAAAACCAAATTCTTAGGTTTTACATATTAGTATACTCTTACAATGCAGTTTTTGTATTTTTTCTCAGAAATGAGATATTTTCCCGCGGTAAAAAGTATCGTATATGTTGACCCGGATAACCAGCTATCACCATACCAAATTTCATCAAAATCTGTCCAGTGGTTTTCTCGTGATGCGGTAACAGACAGACAGATAGACAGACAAAAAATTTAAAAACTATAAATTCGGACTCTGTATCGATAATAATGTCTATTTCAATTAGATTTTGCAAAAAATATTTAATGTACAGATTCGACTTAGTTACAATTTTATTGAACATGTACAGATTAACACGCAGCACCATCTAGTTCCATGGTAAGCTACGAGGCTTGTGTTATGGATACCAGATAGTTAATACACTACACATCGCTGGAGCTGGAGGTGTCCAGGTAAATTTCTAAGAAATTAATTAAATTCCTAAGTAATCTATTGTTAACTGTAACGCCGCACCGGCGTGTCCGAATTCGTGGAGGTATTAAGTCTACTAGTCCTCTCTTTTTATTTTCAGAGATTCCGTTCCTTTTTTTATACGCAGATTGCAGTTTTTAATCTTCGTCCCAAGGATTTTGAAGTTCGGCTAGTAACTTTCACACATTGAAATTTATTTTCACTGTACGAAGTTTTATAAAAAAGAGCAGTTTGGTCAGCATCTTTCTTTTTCGCAGTGCGAATAATAGAGATGTACTGATCCAGTGTATAGATAGGGCCAGATTTTAAAGTCTTATTGATACTTCTTCTTCTTGCTTACATTCTTCACTTTCAGCATTCATATTGGTCAATTGAATAGCTTTTGGTTCACTTACTATTTGTGAATTACGATCTACTTCAGTCTCATCATTTACTGACTCTAGCTGACCTTATTTTCTTTGGTTTTATTTTCTAGGCTGAGGTCGTGGATATCTGCATTTAAACTTATTATGTTATTGAGTTCTGGATTACAGTCTTCTAGTTCTCTATTTTTGGAATCGTCTGAATTACATTTTGTACAAGAAAATGAGCGAGAAGATGACCTAGAAAATAATGATGACGATGAAGACGATGTGGACGGTGATCTTTGTCGCAAAATCAACTTATTTTCTTCCAAATTATTGCCTGAAATTCAATAAGCATTCATTTATGTACAGAATAAATACCATAAGACACAGTAATGTGCATGCATTTCACAGCTGTCTCCCAGAGGAACAAGCTGTTGTGGAATAAGTACACTCATTTTTTTGTAATTCCTGGGAATCGAACCCAGAAGATTAGAACCAGCCACTAGCATGAGTGTAGTTTACATTTACACTTTGCAAGAGGACAAACTACTCATCTAAATGAAATTATATCGAACAAAAAATCAACTGATCGGATGCAGAAATATTTTCAACCGACTTCAAAAAGGAGGAGGTTCTCAATTCGACTGTATGTTTTTTTTTTTTTTTTTTTTTTTTTTTTTTTTTTTTTTTATGTTTGTTACCTCAGAACTCCGTCATTTATTAACCGATTTGGACAATTTTTGTTTTGTTTGAAAGGGTAGACTTCCAGATTGGTCCCATTTAAATTTCAAAAAAAAATACCACCCCTAAGGGTGGAAAAATTGCAAATAATGAATTTAACCTACTTCTAATTGTCATATTGACTTGAAACTTTGCAAGTGTTTCTATTTTCGTTGATAGTACAGTGGTTCGGTATTGTTGACCCGATCTGATGGTAAGGCCAGAAGGTGGATAGGTGGAACTCTTCAACAACTAATAGTAGATACTTTGAGTTTGGGTTTATTTTGTTTGGTTTGACAAGCCTAACACTTTAGAATTCTTACTTTGCTACTACTGTCTACACTAAAAAGGGAAAAATAAAAACTTTTTAACAAAAAAATAAAAACCGACTTCAAAGAAAAGCACTAAAAAGTAAAAAATAAGTGATTGGTAGTTTTCATTTACTATACATACCTAATCAAATATTTTCGAAGTCGGTGTGCTTTGCTTTGTATGGGCTGGCACCGATTTCGAAAATATTTGATTAGGTATGTATTTAATAGGTAGGCTTTAATTACTTAGCCAAAGCACACCGACTTCGAAAATATTTGATTAGGTATGTATAGTAAATGAAAACTACCAATCACTTATTTTTTACTTTTTAGTGCTTTTCTTTGAAGTCGGTTTTTATTTTTTTGTTATCTTTAACTTACCTGATGTGTTATTATAATTTATATCGTTTTCGATATTTTCATCGTAACTTCTTGGAAATAAGGGTAAACTGCATTTATGTATATTGATATTATAAAATAAAATATAAAATATTTTTAATAGTTAAATAGTTGAAAATATATAAAAATTATATGACCTTCTTGTTCAATAGCCATTAAATCATGTTAATCTTCATCTTCTTTTTTTTACTGGCCGCTTCTTTAAACTTTTATAAGAATAACATTCTTTCTGCCATCTTAAATAGCTTTAATAAAGTTAATGGTCTATAACAAATAACTTATCGTAAATAATTAACTATCATTAAATATGATGTAAAAAATTAAATCAATATTTCTATCTCAAATTTCCTTGAACAGATTTCGTAATAAGAAGCAACAACATGCCTATTTTTTTTTCAAAAATAAAGACGTTTCTTATTTTACGACAAAATACTAAACTGTTTATTTTTCGGGAATATAGACTCAAGTAAGATAAATTTTGTTCAAAATACGACATCATTAGTAATGGGTCATATTTATTCTAGAATACAGGCGTAAATAAATATAAGACATAAAAAATAGTTACCTTTATCAAAAACATCGACAAATCACAAAATACGTCACTATTCTTGAATTTTTTTTAACAATATTGCAACCAAACTCTAAATATGTCAATATTTAGGAGAATCGACGTGCGTTGTCAGCGGCTCAACTGAGAAGAGTCTTTATTAAAGATTTACGCTGGAGTGTTTTGTCTCAAATGAATAATGACATTACCTCTTGCTAACGAACGTTGGCGCGAAATTAGCGTTGTATCTCTGTTCACGATAAAATATCAAATATTTATAATCGTTTGGCATATTTAGTTTAATTTGCCAGAATTTTGAATTGCGTCGATATTCTCGCAAACCAGCGATATATATAACTTTAAATACATACTTACATATTATAAATATAAACACCCATGACTCGAGTACAAACATTCGTGCTCATCACATAAATGAATGTCCACAGCGGAACTTGAATCCACGACCGCTGGCACAGCAAGTAGGTTCACTACAAACTGAGCCAAACGTGTCGTCAAATTAATACATAGCTTTATCCATTACAAAATTACATGGAAATACAATTTGAAAAAACCATGAAGTGAAGACAAAAAGCAAAAAAGAAAAGAAATAGTAGTTGAAACACTTATATATTTTACACTTACTATTCACGATTTTGGTGATTCTGTCCATATAGGTCATACAGATTCACTTAACACTGGGGAACACTTATCGTTGAGGAACGGCTAAAAGGATTTCGATGGGATTCCTTGTAGTACAGACTATACTTAAAAATTAAAACAGACAAGTTAATTAATTCAATAAGTCTATTTTTTGTTATGATCCTCCATCCTAAGCAATCCTATACAAACTGTTGATTAACTGTAGTTATTAGGGAAAAAATACATATGATAAAGCAAAGCAAAGTAGTCTAAAAATATAAAAGAAAATGGTAAAATAAATACTAAGAAATGCTAATTACATACTTAAGGAGAAATATCGTCCCCGTGGCATATTAACATTTTATTCGTGCTTAGAATTACTTAAATTGTAAGTACACCCTATGGGTAGAGATAAATCTTTAGCTTAATTGTGCAAATCTCTACCTCAAGTATAATGAAATATGCATGTAAAACCCTAGTAATGTTGAAAGTTTAATTTACTTTGTTACGAAAATGAAGATTTTTATATAACTTTTTAGTTTAAGGTATCATATTGGGTATTACAGTTTAAGAAAATTATTCAAGAAATTAACTTACAGAGAAAATACAATATACACGCATAAAATTAAAAGTTTCGTGTAGTTAGACGAATCACTTATAACATTAATTTATGCTGCTACTTAATTACGTACAAAATCCATTATCATCAGAACACGCTTCTTAAAGTTCTACCAAGTTCAGATAAAAGATTATAAGTTTATAATTAAATGTATTTTACACTCAAGATTAGGCCAACGTCATATTTTTAGTGGAAAGGCGAATTTCATAATTATTTTATATTAATAAACTAGCGGCTCACCCTCGCTTTACACACAGATCTATCCCACGGGAACCGTTCATTTTTCCGGGATAAAAAGTAACCTGTTGTTTGACGCGCAATATAAGGTATCAACATGCCAAGTTTTACTAAATTAGGTACATAAGTTTTTGTGTACTAAGCTGTATAAGTTACTATAGTTTTTAACTAACTCTTTTTATTAACTCTGTAATTTTCGGGAATAAAGAGTATCTAAAAAGTTGACCGGGGATATAAGGTACCACCATGCAGAATTTCATTTAAATCGGTCCAACAGTTTCGGAGATTAGCCCGTACAAACAGACAGAGAAACAAAAAAATTGAAAAAAAACTGGATTTATTTCTCTTCTTACACACCAAGCCCCCCCCCCCCCACTCAGTTTTTAGCATTTTTTTTCTATGTGCAGACATTCAACCTCTACAGTTTTATTTTATGTGTGTAGTGTGTAGATAATTTTTTGATAAGTGGCAAGCTTGAATACGAAATTTTATTTCGAATGTTAATTAATTGAATTTTTCACTAAAAAGCTACCTAAACCGATTTCAAATACATATTAATTATTTTACGTTAGGATCATGAAGATCGGTTCAATTGACGAGGATATCACGTCCGAATATGAATACAAGTTTCTCCTCTTCGTTTAAAGGACAAAAGTTACATCTTAACCAAACTATCTAGCTACATATATGTAGTAAGTAGCAAAAAAAAATAGAAAGTTTTACAAGCTACAGAAATCATTGAATTACATTATTCTCGAAAATTTTCTTTCAGTAGGCGTATCGATTTAGCAACTTGACTCGTTTTAAGAATCAAAGAGCCTCTTCGTATGGAGCACCCTTTAAATGGAATGCAAACCCTACTCAGCTATACATATTTCTTATTTATTTTGTTCTGGAGGCTAAAGAAAGCTAGGTATGGATTAAGGTTTCATATATGATATGATATGTCATCTTATTTCCTAAATCGTTTGTTCGTGCGTGAAAGAGTAAGTTTTAACGAACTTTAGTTTCGACTAATTTTTAAATAGCATTACCATTTACCACTCCTATGTTAAATAAATACCACAAATTAAAATTTAAAACTGACACACATGATAAGTAGGTAATTAATTAATTAACATTGAATTCAAATAATAACAAAAGTGCTTTTTTTTTGTTTACTAGTGACTCACACTTGCTTTCGCTCGGGTTCGTCTCTAAGAAAATAATGACAAATCTATCCCACGGGAACCGTACATTTTTCCTAGAGAAGTAGCCAGCCGTCCTGGCATGAAAGAGTAACAAGCATCCATACTCACAAACTTTCACATCTATACATATTATAATAAAATTGTGACCAAGCCGAATCTGTACATTAAATATTTTTTGGAAAATCTTATAGAAATAGACATTATTATCGATACAGAGGCCGAATCTATAGTTTTTAGAATTTTTGTCTGTCTGTCTGTTACCGCATCGCGGAAAAACTGCTGAAAGGATTTTAATGAAATTTGGTATGACGATAGCTGGTTATCCGGGTCAACATATAGGATACTTTTTACCGCGGGGAAATGTCTCATTTCTGAGAAAAAATACAAAAACCGCATTGTAAGAGTATACTAATATGTAAAACCTCAGAATTTGGTTTTTGGTCATCTTAACGCGGGCGGAGCCGCGGGAAATGGTAGTTTATAATATTAGTATAAATTTTGATTGTCCAACAGCAAGCAGACGGCGACAAAGAGATTAGGCGGCACAACCGACGGCTTTAAGTGCTTTCCGCGGCATAGAACTTCTCACTGCGACATGATTAGTAGTAACAATGAATTACTTGATAAAATAATTTATCTTTGTCTTGAAACTCGAATCCAGAAAGTCCTAAGCTAGCTACTACACCAACGGTGGAAATTAATATATTATTTATATTTAATCTTAATTTGAAATATATATTCTATTTCAATTCTTTTAGTAATTTCTCCCCGCAAAAAGAAATATTTAGGCATTGAAATACATATGTACGTCTATTAAATGTCTAAGTCTAGGTATATAAATAAAAAT